TCCGTACGCAAGTCAAAAAATCAGGTAAAAACCAATGATGCAAAAACTTCCACACTTCCGGGAATCGAACCAGCATGCTGTGCCTGCGAAGCGAGAAACTTACCACTGAACCACCACGACTCGATCGGAATGAAAGCCATTCCTTGATTATCCTTCACAGCTCACCACCAAGCCTCCACCCTACTGCACCATTACAAACTTTACCTGCTCATAAGTTGCTTGTGAATGCAGTTGCAGTTTTGCTATCTATATTTGTAATAGCCTTACAGACTCTATCGATCCACCAGGTCTCCATTCAAAGTTCCATGGTAAGTTGCAGGCCTTCCCTGGTTAGCTGATTTTGATCCACTTTTTTCCGGTCTCTGTGGTGCTCTGGAACAGTTTTTGGCCTTTTGTCTAGCTCCGCCCACATCAGAACAGACCCCGCCCACGACATGTGTGCCCCACATTTCACAACCGGCGACCCTTAGCTGATTTTGAATCCACTTTTTTCCGGTCTCTGTGTGCTCTGGAACAGTTTTTGGCCTTTTGTCTAGCTCCGCCCACATCAGAAGAGACCCCGCCCCCGACATGTGTGCCCCAAATTTCACAGCCGGCGACTTCACAACCGGCGACCCTTACCAGGGAAGGCCTCCAAATTACCATGGACCTCCAACTTTGCATTCCAGCCGAAATCGTGAAGCAAAACCAGGCAGTGGCGCAGGTACATTCTGTCACAGTGGTAATTGTGCGACATTGTGGCCTGCAAATGCAAGGTGGGTGAGTGATAGCTAGTGTGATAAAAGAGTATAATGCACACGTCACGCACACGTGATGACGAAATACCAACATCCATGCAAACGAAATACGGAAGGATCAAACACGGGGTAAAAACATGCTCACATGCCAACACTGCATTTACAGCAAACTTGACCACCTGGAATTTGTCTGGGAGATCCCCGTTACACTTTCAATCTGCATATTCGTAATCAGTATTTGAGGCCCTATCGGTTTCTAGATTCCATTCAAAGTTCCATGGGCAGATGGAACCATTCCGTTGTGAGTGGATCTTCTCTGTCGATGGTAAGTTCCATAGGGTTTCCCGTATGTAATGCACCAGATAGCGTGTGTCAGCCAAACGTGTGACAAATGAGAAAGAATTTCAATGGATACCATTCCAAAGGGCCCCTATGAGCTAACTCTGTACCACTTGAAACCCACCTGATACCGGGTCAAGTGATTCTAGATATCACATCCTTGGCAACTGTGCTCCCTTTATCACATACGAGCATGATATTGAGCTGCGCAGAACGTCTCCATCTTCGACAAGTTCTAACAATTTTTGGCGGCTTGTGTAAGTTGGCTTGTTTTGTTGTTCATAACATCCCTCTCAAAATTCGAATTGTGATCCATGCCTTATGCGTTATTATTTCTCCGAACGTACCTCTGAGCAATCCCCTATCTTCTATGGTCTCCACAGCGATAGCGAACCCGTACCTCTCCGGCTGGCTCTATCTTCAGCTTTCGCCTCTCGTTCCAGTGGAAAGGCTACATCATTCGCCTTCTTGATGCAGTCATTAGATGCAGCTTCTTCATGCATAATTCCTATACGAGCACAGTCAAAATGAACATTTTCTAAGCCCCATGTTAATTTCGTAGCACTAGCAGTATTAGGCAAATCTGCGTTACAACGGACCCTATTCAAGTATGATACTTAGATTTCAGCATGAAATGTCTGATTCTTTGCAACACCTGCGTCTGGCGCTCACCGTCACCCACCTGCTCCTTGTCGCCCTTGGCTCACTCAATGTGCTCGTCATTTTTCTCATCTTATCACGGCCGTGAGTTCTTATTTCGCTATTTCAGTGTGTGAATAGACACCTTTGACATGCCTTATTATTGCGTACTATCTTCAGCTATAACGCTCCCCAGATTCAAGCTCATTGTTCTGTGTTGCATGCTGATGACCAGTCGTTAATAAATTCCATTACGGGAAAAACCCACTTCTTCACTTTTGACGTTTCTGTCACAAACAAGGATCAATAGGAATAGGCCAATTTTGTGAACAAGAACACTTAATGCGGAGCCGTCCAACATACCATTAGCTTGCCCCAACAGTAGTCGCTAATTCCCTGTAACAATCCTTATTGATTCTTTTTTACATGCACAGACGACTCAGGAGCCTTCACGCATAAACTTGCAATTTTTGTAATTTTGTCTGCAAGTTCATGCTAGTCCTCAGGTTTCGATTCGTTGTTGTTACACCGAGTTTGGTGGCGGAGTCCATTTCTCCATGTGGTGCCACTAGGAACTGCCCGCTCTTGGGGGTGAGCTGACCGCGGACATCTGAAAGCAGGTGACAGGGCTTCGTTACTTTCGCACTCTATAGGCCCGGCGAGTGTGAAATATGAGAGAGTCTCCTATGCAAGGGCGGCATCGGTGGGCTGACAGAGGCACTGGAGCGACGAATAGATCTCTGTGCAGTGGAGGAGACAAGGTGGCCCAGTTGTAAGTTGAGAGATATTGATCGCGGCTCAAAAGCCATTCTTTGTGGCAATCCTCTTTCATGTTGCGAACACTATTTGACTCCGTTTTGCAGCCTGGAATTGCTTTTGAATAGGATGCTCCTCAGGTCTCGTCCCATGCGCAGCTTTGGAAATTCCAAGGACTTCTACCTTAAGATCATGCCAGGCAGTCAGTCACCGTTGGTCGCAGCCTTGGCTTGCCGAGCAGCAGAAATTGCAAAGGAGTCCGTATCGAGATTACAGAACTGAGGGTCAGATCGAAGGAATCAATCACAATGTGTGCGTGAAAAAATGAAACTGTGTACTTGGGGAGGGGTAAGCCATATCACTACTATTTACATATAGTTTGCTACGTCTGTTTGTTTATTTGTTTGTTTGCCTGTTCTGAAATTCGGTCCTAACTAAAGAGGAACTAGGAGAGCTCGGCTCAAGGTTGTTATGCGTAGGACAAGGGATTGGAGGCAAAGAAAGCACTTGAGCAAGTTGAGCCCCATCCACAGTGGACCGGCATGTGCCGGAGGTATTCGATGTCGTAAAAATTCATAATTTGATTCCAGAGCAGCCCAGAGTTGAGGGAAAAGTGGACTAAGATTAGGAAGGGGTTGACAGACTGACTGGGGAGGGGGGCGACTGAAATGGGTGCGTCGTACTTGAGATAGGCGGTGCTCCGCACGAATCCCAGTACCTCAGTTCGTTTAGAGTTCGCAAGAAAGTCGATGGAAAAGAAGTACATCAGGCGAGAGTCAAGCATTTCTGTGGTGTGCGGAGAGCCGCACACACTGGGCGGGGTACGCTCTCGAGCATGAGGTATCTCATAAAATTATTGTTCGGCTTCAGAGCACTCAAGAGACTGGTTAAAAGTGGAATAAGATAAGAAAGGGGTCAATGGTTGAGAAGTGCGGTAAAACTTTGTGTGAAGTGAGGCGTCCGCTGGAACCGAGCCGAACTCAAAAGTTCGCAAAGCAGTTTCAGAGCACCCTAAACAGTGGAAAAGTGGGCCAAGGGAATGGTTCACCGGTTGAGGAGTGTGTGACGCCCACATCGTGGGCGAGGCCTGCTCCGAGGTGCGCGGAGCCAAACTTGGGAGTTTGTAAAGCGGTTTCGGCGCATCCCAGAGACCGGTGAATAATGAGCAAAGGTATGCGGGACGCCATGGAAAGGAGTTATGCCAGTGCGGAGCGTGGTGTGCGCCGAGGGAGGGGCAAAAATAAAAAGTTAAGGTTGGAAAGCAAGAAGAGTAGATCGAGGTGAAGAAGGGGTTAACGGGCAGTTGAGAGAACATCCTCAAATGGGCGGGCTGTGCTTGAGATGGGCGGTGTTTGCTACAAAATTTCATGAGTAGGTGCTGAGAGAGTCGGAAGATCGGAAAAGTTCATGAGAAGGCGAACATCTGGCGAAAGGTGAGAGTGCCTCTAATGTGGAGACTCACTAGGCCCCAGTGAGCGGAGCGTGTCCCCAAGCACGCGGTACTGTTTTTGGTGATAAAGTGCTTGGGCAGCTACACTTTCAACCACCGCTCGTCACAGTTACGTTTGATACCGGTCGGCTCGGTGGCTAAAGCCGGCGCGCCTCCTTCTGTGATACGGTCAGGCTTCTTCGCGCGAACGTGACTTCGGGTCGCGTACCTTCTTTCATATTTTCGAATATGATATTATTTTGTCTGTGCACTTGATCAATGATCCTTACCATCACTCTTATAATGTCGAAAGTAGCGGATATGATGCTATTGGTATAGAAGCGTTGATCACGTGTACAGATACGAGAAGAGCCGGCTTTGGTTGAGTACTGAAACATGCAGAAGGAAGAATGCGCGGCGAAACTCTGCCGTATTACAGAAGAAGGCGCCGGCGTCAGTCGGCGAGTCGATCAAGTAGGACAGATGCCACTTTAAGGTTACCGCAGACAAAAACAAGTTCAATGTGCGAAATAGGGACCTGTCACAGGTTCCAACACTTCGAAAAAAAAACAGATGAGACACAACTTGATCACCAGCGGCTTCACGAACTCTGGCAAACCACAACTGATGATGGAAACAGTGGTACCTGATATAGTGGCAATGTTCTTTCACGTAAGTACTCAACTGCCACTCTAGGTGGCCCGTATACCACTCAGAAGATACAACCAAGTATCCGATGAACCAAATTCCACAGAAAGTCATGAAAACACTCCAGTCGAAAGAAATTAACGTACCCCACGGGAGAAAGCAGATAAATAGAAATTAATTAGTGCAGAGGGGAGCAAAATGGCGAACGCCGCCGCATCCGGATACGACGTACACATATCGGTTGAGAAAGTGCATGGTTAATTGAGATGGAAAGCTGAAAACCATTACTGAGAGTCGAATAGGGAGTAGGGCTGTTCTAGTAATAGCAATTCTCCCACGGAAATAGCCACTTCAATAAATATTGCAGTTAAAATAACAAGCAGTCAACGTCTCAGCAGTGGTGACTCACTGATTAACATTTCAGCTATTTAAGATCGATAACGAACGTATACATGGTCGGTTTATGTCTTGCCGATTTCATCTACCTCGCCGATTTATCACTGGTTGCCGCCACTTCTCTTAACCTGAAAAGTTGGCCTTTCGGCTCAGCGTTGTGCCATTTTTATCACGGTACTGAAACTACGGGTATGTTTTTCAGAGTTATCATGTATTACAATGATAAATAAATGTTTACTGTGGCCTTTCCACCTGAGCAGAGAAGGGACAGCATGTAAGGGACAGGGACGATAGGATCGTCGACTCCCAGTGACAACCAAATCACACTGTTGAGGAAAGCAAACACTTCAATGCTAGTAGTTTAGAGAATTCTAGTCATGGCTAGAGCGATGAAGGAGGTGTTGCAATGTCAAATAATCAGGTCTCAAACCAGGACTCCAATGACTGAACGTAGCAATGCTGCTGTTAAGCCAATTGACCATACTAGTCTAGTTGGCGCGCGATGCTCCACCTGAAACTACTGAACTACAACGCCGCTCATGATTCGTGGAGAAAGGGGTCTTTATCCGCCACAAAACGTCACACTATCAATGACTTCTTTCAAAGAGAGTGAAAGTGAAATAGGATGTCATGGAAACCGTCACATTCAACATTGTGTGGTGAATTCAAGAGTGTGTCATTCGTAAAATTTCGATGCGTAGATCATTAGCCTTATAGTGAAAACTGGCCAGAGTTCTATGTTTTGACCTGCAGAGAGGAAAACGATCTTTGTGTCTCTTTTTTGAGCTGATCAATGCATCGTCTGGTACTTAGACCATGTGGTGCATTTCAGCCCAACTTTCAGAGAACAGTCGATGAACTAACTTCACAATTTTTTCCAACTTTTAATGCGCATTTCTTGGCATCTAACCAGGTGGAGGCCGAACCGCTAAAGAACTGTGCTCTCGGTCAGATGATAGAAAACTAGCGGCATTCACCAACAAAGGCAAGCGGTTCTTCCGCAATGTGGCCCTGAACATGAGTGTTAGCCCTTTTGTGACTCAATAATCGTATTTCTTCCATTTTCATGTTCAACATCCTAGCAGACTCAGTAAGCTAGAAGGCAACGAAAACTTTTGGAGAGCACTTGCAGTAGAGTGCGTAACAAAATTTATGGCGTTTGGGCGGCCATCGTATTTCCTCTCATCGATTCTTCACATAGATAAGTCTTTCATCATTGAAGCTGTAGGACATCTGAGTATAGTTGCACCCCCACTTCAGAAAGGCCCTGCGCTCACGATATCCCCCCTCCCTCGAGGTCAAATATGACCCCCCCCCTGTTGTGATTATCACAACGATGGGTGCTAACGTATTTGGGGGGGACCACGCGGAGAGCGGCGAGTGATGACTCATCAGCTCTTCACTCATAGGCATACTTGAAGCGCGAATCTAGCAGCCAAATTAGAATGAAACAAACAAGATTCACCGGGAACTTGCTGGGAAATCCCACAGAAGCTGAAAACAACAAATATTTGATCTTTTATAGTCAAGAATCAACAAAAAGGCAACAATCGTTTGTATTTTAGGCAAAATCTTCCAGCCTACAACTGTTTCTTCGCACTTTTCAGCCTTAACTGTTTTAGCTTTTGAATATAGCTAGGACGGTGTTATATCCATGTCCTAAACATGAAATTACTTCTTTTTTGCCGAGGAGGGAGCAGAAGAGCGGATGAGTCATCGCTCGCCGCGCTCGCGTGGTCCCCCCCCCCCCCAAATACGTTAGCACCCAACGATGGCGTTCCCTGCTCGAGAAATGCATAGGTTGCAATATCGCAGTCAGTCGACAGTGTGACGAGAATGAGCTCGAGGATGCTGCCCTGCTCTACCAATGGTGATCGAGTAGTGATCGATTCAAAAAGAAAATATTAGTGGTGGCAAGGCCGCAGCTGGGGCAGTCCGCCTTCTGGAAAACGACCGGACTGATTGCTACATATGATACCAGCTGTAAGCTTACTGCATCAGTTTTGAAGGCAAATATGCTTCGGTGTTATTCGTCGTGCTATTAGCAGCTGATCGATATTTGGCTATGTGTAAAAGTGATATATGTGGACGGTTCAGGTAATTGACTATACAGTAAATTCACGGGTCTTGAGCATCCTTTTCATGAATCGCTCTCAGGAATTATCGTGTTGCTGTGTTTCTCAGTACAGGAGCCTGGGCGACAGCAATTGCATGCAGTTTACCGTTATACCTTTATGCAAAGGAAGTAAGTGAATCTTTTTTGTTGCTGAGGTCTTTAATGACTCGTTTTGATTCAGGGACGATCTAAGGCTCATTAAATAGAGCTGTTCCATTTCGTGACCCATACGGCTCATTAAATAGAGCTGTTCCATTTCGTGACCCATACGGTTTTGCTGAAATGTGGCGCACGTAACCTCGTCATCCGGGCAGTTGATTAGGGCGGTCGTCAACGGGCCGCAGCGCGTGCCAGGAACTATTTGCTTTTTCCAGGCTAATTTAGTCATTTTTTCCACCTTGTGAAGATAAGGAGCTGCTAATCTGGGAAAAAGTAGCCAAAACAGTGAAAAGTTGGAAATGACTAAATTAGCCTGGAAAAAGCAAATAGTTCCTGGCACGCGCTGCGGCCCGTTGACGACCGCCCTAATCAACTGCCCGGATGACGAGGGTATGCGTGTATAATAAAAAAATAAACAAATAAATGAATGGCGCATTCACCCAAAAAATATTGATTCACGGAAAGCTGTTGAACCCGTGAGGGCCAAACGGGTGCAGCGACGTCCATCACAGAGTACGAGTTGTTCCCGACCTGTGATGTTTACGATGCTTCCAATGATTTGATGACCACTCGAAGCTCGCTTTAGACTTTCCCAACAATCACGTGGTTGTGCGTCATGTAATGGGATGTAATATAATGTGTGTAGAAGGTAAATACAACTGTACATTCACCTCGAAGAAGGTTCTTGCCACGTGCGAGTCCGGAGCTGTAATATCGTGCCACGTTCTCCGCTCAAACTTGCAAGGGGGTGTAGAGTAGTGGATCTCCATACTCGCCCTCGCTGTCCTCGTGTTGCAGCACTTGCGCCGATACTAATTGTAAGGCCCCGCAGTCGACACACACAGTCAGCGGAAGAACAACCAGAACCAGAAGTGAGAGGGCTCAGACAACTGGCAATACTACCAGGCGTGTGATGGGCCGTGCGACAGGGCGTTGTTGGGTATTCCCTAACAGAGGGGGTCGTATTTGGCCGCTGGGAGAGGGGGGGGGGTCGTAATGAGTGCGGTAGCCAGTAACGAGCAGCGCAAAGGTGTCAGTGTGCTGAGTCCTGTATAGCGAAACTTGCTTTGTAGAGAACCCGGATATGTAAAAAAAATAGTACAAAGCTTTCCCTAAATAAACTAATCGAAAATTAAATATTAATAAGTTGACACATTCCGTGAGGACGTAGATGACTGAACAGCACAACTAATATCCTGGTTCGCTGCGGATCACGGGGCGTGTGTCCACGCGACCGCGCTCGACGCGGCGCCAACCTGTTTTTTTTTCGACAAACGACAGGACTACCATATCGTTCGTATCAGACGTTTTCCAGCAGTTGGTCTCCTTTATCGGACTCAGCAATTGGTGGAGCACGGATCTAACAGCGTGCGGTTGCCGTTCTCCGTTGCGGATGATGGGATGGACACGGGTTTCCCATGTACCTTTTCAAGCGGGCAGGACTGTAAACAAGTGCATTTCTATAGGATTCAGGGAGTTCCATGGTTGGCCATGGAGCTCCCTGAATCCTATAAACACATCTGCTCGCGTAGACAGGCATTGCATATAAGTTGTACCATTCCACTACCTCTGCGTGGGAGCCCAAGCATGGCGCATCCGGAAACGAAGCTAATGGGATCTAAACCCACTGCTGGTTGTTCCTATACCACGAAGGATGCACTCTAGATGCATTTCTGAATATCCGAATCCGCCCACTTGAAAAGGTACATGGAAAACTGGTTTTCCGACTGGGATGCTCTTCAGAAAATCCTCAACGCGATTATCTCATGAATCCCGAAATTTTCAGATAAAAATTAGTGGTTTTTTAAGAAGAAGGAATCTTCTAATATTCGACACTGGTTTTGGATTTGCAAACAATTAGGTTTTTAGAAAATTATCTTCGTTCAAACCAGGACAGTTTGCATCCAATTGTAAAAATCCCCAACTAATCCCCAATTGTGAATTCAACCTTTATAAACACTTTGGTAGTTTTCGGGAAGCCCAAAACTTTTACTTCCGTTTTCCACTGCGTTTCCTATTTCCTAACCTTTAAGAAAGTTATAACCCTCCAAAGACAAGTGGCTTCACTTAAAGACACATGTTACGATCACACATAGTTTGGTTGTGCGCGACTATCAGCCCCCAGCTGTCGCAGCGTAGCGGTTTCCCCGTCCTAGCATCCGCAAGATTGGAGATAAAGGACCGCGAAACACGCTAATTCCTCCGTGCTCCGCCCAATGCCTCTTCCGGCGCGGACTCCCTTTTATGCTTACAGCCGTCCGCGCAGCGCTCTTGGCACTTTGCCAAGTCCTGTAATTGCGCTTTGGAATACAAGTAAAACGCAATTTCCTGATGCGGATAACATTTGAGGTGTTGCTCATGCTGCAAAGTCCGAATAGAAGGTGATGAAGATGACAAAGGCTAGAAATGAAGAACAACGAATGTAGATGTATAAAACAAAAATGAAAAATTTAAGGAAATGCAATTTAATTAAAATCGCGTGTAGATTTCTGCAATTCGGCGCGATCCAGCTCCAAAGCCATAAAAACACTTTGAACCACGAGTGCTCAGGCTGTTTTTATTTCATGTTTCGTAGGAAGGCGCAGTCCTCGAGGAAGATTGCAGAAGCAGCACAGTTGCTCTTGAGTTCTGGCCCTCGTCATCATCTTCGGTTCTTATTTTGCAGCACCTCAAATGTTATCCGCATCAGGAAATTGCGTTTTACTTGTATTCCAAAGCGCAATTACAGGACTTGGCAAAGTGCAAGAGAGCTGCGCGCGACACGCGCCGCGCGGACGGCTGTTAGCATAAACGGGAGTCTGCGCCGCAAAAGGCATTGGGCGGAGCATGGAGGAATTAGCGTGTTTCACGGTCCTGTATCTCCATTCCTGCGCATGTTAGGACGGGGAAACCGCTACGCTTCGACAGCTGGGGGCTGATAGTCACGCACACCCAAACTATGTGTATGACCGTACCATGTGTTTAGAAGACACATGGTACGCTCGAACACATTGAGGGTGTATGAGACTATCAGCCCCCAGCTGTCGATGTGTCGTGGTCCCCCCGCCCAAAACTGCACGGGGTCAGAGTACGGGGCCGTGGGAAAGTCGTAATTCCTTGCTACGCCGCCCGTTTCGCAAACTCACGTTTTGCTAACACCGTCCGCGCGGCGCGGTCGCGTGCAGCTCTCTTGGCTTTTTGCCAAGTCCTGTAATTGCGCTTTGGAATACAAGAGAACGCAATTTCTTTATGTCGATATATTTTAGGTGCTGCAAAATAAGAACCGAAGATGATGACAAGGGCTAGAACTCAAGAGCAACTGTGGTGCTTCTGCAATATCCCTCAGAGGCCGCGCATTCCCACAGAACATGACAATAAAAACGGACAACATGACAATACAAGCAAAACGCAATTTCCTAACATTTGAGGTATTGCTCATGCTTCAAAGTCCGAATAGAAGGTGATGAAGATGACAAAGGCTAGAAATGAACAACAACGAATGTAGATGTAAATAAAACAAAATTGAAAAAACTAAGGAAACGCAATAAATTAAAATCGCGTGTGCATTTCTGCGATCCGGCTCGAATCCGGCTCTAATGCTATAGAAATACTTCAAACTAACGAGTGGGACGCTTAGGCCGTTTTTATTTTGATGTTTTGTGGGAATGCGCGGCCTGCGAGGGCTGTTGCAGAAGCAGCACAGTTGCTCTTGAGTTCTAGCCCTCGTCATCATCTTCAGTTCTTATTTTGCAGAACCTAAATGTTATCCGCATAAAGAAATTGCGTTGTACTTGTATTCCAAAGCGCAATTACAGGACTTGGCAAAAAGCCAAGAGAGCTGCACGCGACCGCGCCGCGCGAACGGTGTTAGTAAAAACGTGAGTTTGCAAAAACGGGCGGCGTAGCAAGGAATTACGACTTTCCCACGGTCCCGTACTCTGACCCCGTGCAGTTTTGGGCGGGACCACGACACATCGACAGCTGGGGGCTGATAGTCTCATACACCCTCAATGTGTTTGAAGCGTACCATGTGTCTTTAAGGGGGTCGCAAAACGCGCCTTAAGGCAATCAAAGCGCGGACGCGTGCGCGCTCGGTATTCAAACAACATGGCTGCACTTCCCACGTACACGAATTTGAAACAACAGTCTGTAGGTTGGAGCACAGCATCCTGTGCGGTGGAGATTCCACAGAACCACCTACCACTCTACCAGGGAGTTTCCGAAAAGAAATGAGCATCCCTGAATCGCTCAGTTGACACGGCAGTGGTAGAAAATAGTAAGCGATCGTCATGAATTTCGTAAGTTCCAGCTGTTTTAAGTCGGGGCCTTATGGCTTTCCATGTTAAAAGTAATATAAACATTTATTAGAGCACCGGAGTTCATCTTAACTGAGTTCTTGTAGATAGAGGGAGCAGTTCCACTGGCATACTGTCTTGTGAGACCCTACGGAATGTTTGGAGTTTCACTCGTACAGAAATTCTTTGGCTGGGTGACGTTCAGTGCTGGAAGGTGCTCAGAAGCCAGGGAGAATCTTCTCGCTTGGCACTGGTTTGGCACTTGCACTGGTTTACTTCCACGAAGGTGTTGGAAATAAATGCAAATAAGAAGGCGAAAAACGAACCTAATGAAGGGGGGTCTTATCTATCCAACTTTTGAGGGGGAGGGGCGTACGTACGACGAAAATCCCCAAACCAATGATGTGCCCTGCCGTGCGACACCGCAGGCGGAGTGTGGAGGGGATACCTGATTATCACCACCCTCCAAACCTGTTGCCGTGCACCATTGACCGGAGAAAGTGGTACGCTACTGCAGCTGCGGACCCATTCTTCAAACATGTGGCAGGGAGCAGGAACTACGGAGGTGAGTGTACTTGTCTTCAAAGCGAGGAGCAAGTGATGCAGTAGGTAGGTGCAAAACAAAAGATCATCAAGAATTCCATTTATGCGATAATCAGTAAAATGAACGAAAGCATAAAGCGAATTCAGAGTCGGTGAATCTATTCATGTTGAAGGTTATTATTCCAGGCTACGTTTGGCGTTCGACAAAAGAACGTGAGTGAGGGTG